CGATAAATTGTCCCGTTGCATAAGGAAAACTCCCGCGATAAGGTAATCAAGAAAAGGGGAAAAGAGCAGAGTAAAACGCACAGAGAAAGACAGAAGGGGGGGGGGTAAAATTCTTCCTCGCCGCCGGACAACTGGTCCCACCTGTGCGCCGCACGACGCCGCATGCCGCTCGCGTCATACAGGTACTCTTCTCTGATTTCATCCTGATCGGGACGCCGCGCCGCCGCTGCACTTCCGGTCTGCCGAGGCTCCGGCCGACTGCCTGCAGTTTCCCATCACGCTTCAGTAGGTTTTCTCCAGAAGGATCAGCTGTATAGAGGAGAGACGAGGGGCGTCCAAAGGCGCGAGAAAAGGAAAGGGCAGGACGGAGAGTCGCTCTGGCGTGGAGGGAATCAACGCGGCAGTCCTGGTCCCCACTGGGGTCACCGTAGGTACATTTTGGTTTCTGCCGAACTGTGCACGCCGTACCGTGTGCACACATGAGAGTGTATGCTCTCGAAACACTATGACTATACTTTCCTGGATGCGAATGGTTATCCCGAGAAGATTCCAACAGACGACGCAGTACAGCTGCACCTGCGCGTATGTATAGTCATGCCCCGGTTATACCCAGGGCGAAGGTACCTATGGAGGAGTCGTGTCGCAGTGTGCGGGAAGCCATTCGGGGCGCAGTACTGTATACGAGGGGGCGTGCCGGTGGGCGCGCGAGCTCGAGATAGCAGCGCTAACCATTATCCACCCCGTCAAGACTGCCTCACCCCGCCCAGCTCGCCCAGCTTCTGCCGGGGCGGGCCGAGCGGCCTGAGCAGCCCAAGTAGCCGCACTCGCTGTAATGAGAGGGAACAGTAGTCATTATGCTGGAGTCATACACTAGCAGGACGGGGGACCGGAGTATGCGGGGGAGTCAAACGGGTGCCGTCCTTGTTAGCCCGGTGTGAAAACTCGTGTGTCGCTCTATGCATATGATGTATTTCGCTCCCTCTCTTCGACTCAAGCCGGAGTTTCTCGCAAATCGACTTGTCCCACGGCCCAACTGAGAGTGTCCGCCGAAATAGGCGGGGGGCGAGCGGGGAACTTCGCTTGACACTGGCTGTTTGTCTACAGCACCCGCACTCACTAGCACTGTAAACTGGTTGTCGTTCCTCTTCTCAGAACGCCAAATGTTGGCGTTCTTCAGGGAACGCCAATAATTTTGGCGTCGTGAAACGCCAAACCAAGTGCGGTCTTCGGTGGACCGGACCAGGCTTCAAGTTGGGTAAAACGGGGTTCTACTTATTGGTAAAGGAATCGCAAAAGTAAAGTACTTGTTTTTTTATCTGGCGGCCGTGTTTGTCCCTGTCATTCCTAAACGCCTGAAGAAGGCCCGGGGGTGGGAGGAGGCACGCGCTCCGGGTGTCGGTGGAGAGGACACGGCCTGGGCACGGCCTGGGCACGGCCTGGGCGCAGCACTGTCGCTGCTGCTGCCCGGTGCAGACGGCACGTGAGTCGCGTTGACGATGCGGCGGTGCGGCGGCCGTCTCTCCCGGGCCTTCCTGTCATTCTGTCGTAAGTACCCTGCCACGAAATGTATTGAGGATCCCTAACAGATGTTCTTTCCAACATGTACACGACACGCAACAACTGCAAACCTGCTGCTCTACCACGAGTAGCCTCCTACCCTAGAGGTGGAGGCGGCCACTACACTACTTTGTTTAATCAAATGTCATTATTTTCCGAAACGCCCCGTCATCGATCCGCACCACGACGGCAGGTGGCAGGGGCCAGACTCTCGCAGAGAAGAGGCACTGGACATGGCCGTAGGGAATCAGAACGCCGGCTCTGTCCAACCAAGCGAAGCAGAGTCATTCGACACACCGGAAGTGGCGCTGGAGCTCAAAGGGAAAAAGGTAATATCAGATTGAAAAAGAGCGCAATGTCACATTGGTGCCTA